TTTTTTTTTTTTTTTGTTATAGTTTAATAGGAATTTTTCGTGAAATTTATGTAGAAACATGCTGACATAAGCCCTTACAAAGAAAACTAAGTTTTTGTCAGAGTAATGTTTTCGATTAAATTGTAATGATATGTAATTTCAAGTCATAATTTACAACATAATAAAACGAAATGTTTTGGGGTATTTATAAGGGTTTTCATGGCACATTGCTACAAAGAAGTAGTTTTAACAATAAACAACTAATATATATTAAGCTAAATTTTTGAGATATTTTAGATTAAATGACTCGTAAGCTTTAAATTTGTTACATATTTTTCATAAACATATTTAATAATCTACTTTTTAAAAAATTAAGTTGATTCAAATTTATCTACTTATCATTTTTTTAATAGAACAAATTTAGATCAAAAAAATATAAAAACAATTTACTAATATTTAAATACAGTACGAAGAATTTTTTTAATTAAATTAATAAGCAATTAAATGTTTAAGACAGTTCAGTATAAATTTATTGTTTCAATTTTATATAAATTATTAACAGGTTCATCCGAACGGTTTTTTCTATTTACACTATTATTATGAATGACAGCTAAAGTATTGTTCACATTTTTCAATGCTTCTGCATAATCACATTTATGAGTAACATCTTTTTGCAACTCTATGATAAGTTCAAGAACATTTGGATCATTAGACAATAGTATTTGTTGATATGAGCAATCTATTATTAATGTGATCCAATCTATTAATCTTTCTTCAATAACTTTTTTTTTTATAAGAGAATGCAATATCTTTAAAAGGTTCAATATATTTTCAAAAGGAATTTGACCTCTTAAACTGAGTGGCTTATTTAAAGGAGGATAAGCAAAAACTTTTAACAAGAGTTTCGAATGTTTTTCTGGATTGGAGCTACAATATAATAATATCTCTACTATTGAATTATCACTAATATCATTATTTTCTTCTAAAATATGTATCAATGATTCTTCTTGGTTGTTTTTTAAAAAATCACAAATAGTTATTTCATTTAATCTAAAATACATAACATAAATAAAATATATTATCTATTAAAGATATATAATTAAAAATTTTATACTTAGACTGAGGTAATGCTGAATTTGAAATATTTTTGTCACTACTATTTTGTTTAGCATACATATCCCATTCTATATCAACATAGTGTTCATTTTTTTCCATCAAATTATTGTCCATGAGCAATGATAAATTATTTCTTTCGCATGTAAAAGGTACAATAGCTAAATTTTGACCAGTTGCTAAGAGTAAATTATTTCCAAAACACCATAGATTTGGAGGATTATTGTAGTTTTTAAAATGTTGTACAGAAACTACCATATTGTAATGAAAATTATACACAATCAAAGCAGCTCCTGAAAGTTAATATTTTAATAATTAATTGAAAAATAATCTAAAAATAGATTGATGCTAATGTAACTGTAAGATAATAAAATTGGTTCTATTAGTAAAAATCCAAACACTTTCAATGAAACTTACCTTCTCCATTTGGTTCAGCTCCATAAAATGCAATACAATCTTGGCTCAACTGAACAATAGTTACAGCTTTATCTGAGTTAATTAAGTCAATTTTAGCACATAATTTCCCGGGGTATTCACTGCTTTCAGATTCAGCATACAATTCATGAGAATATAAACATTTATCAGACCCTATAATAACAAAAATCATTTAATTCACTTAATTTATTTGATCATATGATTTTACAAATTTGAACTAATTTTAAAAAATTGGAGTTTTAGTACTATTAAGTGTTTTTAAAAATGTACACATTTAATTTAAGTAGGTCTATCTAAGGAAAAAAATGTTTACAGTAATAATATAGGTCATATTTTCGAACTCACATAATGTTAATACACTAAAAGAATCTAAATTTTCTCTTAAACAATAACCTAGTAACTTTTTCTTTCTACTAGTTATCTGTAATCTTATTGGTATAAATGCATTATCCAATGGTATAGTATTTAATGTCTTCACTTTCTATAAATAAAAAATTAATATTATTTAGTTTAAGTAAATTTATTTTAGATAATAATAAATGAATGAAAAAAAGTTTTATTTACTTTATTATCAACAGAAACAATTACACAAATAGCTTTGGCTCTGAATAAGCATAACTTAGAAAACTCAATATTTTCATTTTCACCCAAGACAGCAGTTTTTATATTTTTTCTATTCCTAATGGCATCTTTTAAACATTCACAACAGCCATTTTCAAAAACCACTATAGTATTTTGATAATCAGATCGAGTCAAAAGTTTTATTATTTTGTTATTAAACTGAAAAATACAATATTACATTGAACATATGATTAATTCAGAAATCTCAGGATGTTTAATGTAAAGAAACAAATTTTTTGGAAAGATCACAATGATCTCATTAATGGGCTGTAAAAGTAAAAAAAAGTTAAGAAATACAAACAGAGCAATTCATTTATCATGACCCACAGAATTAATCAAAAAATAAAAATAATATTGAGAATTTTTTATTTGGTTTCTTTTATGGACATATTTACACTATTTTGGTATATTTTTCTTTATATATCAATGATGAAGTATTTTATACATGCATCCCTTATAATTTATAAGAGTGTCAACTTCAATTTTTCCAATGGCAACATACAAAAGAAACAAGTTTATTTGTTAATAATGATCTAAGAAAATAACAACTTTTAGATCAGTATTTCAAAATTTATTAAAATTTTATAGTAATAGCAGAAAGTGGGACACAAGGTTATTATTATCACTAGTATTTTTCCTGCCATAGTTATTCTCACATCAAGATATTACAATGTCAATAATTTTTGAATTACTGGTTCAAAAACTGTAATTTATCAGAAATTTTTTAATCAAATCATTATTTACTATATAAACTAATTATGTATATTGTCATTTGAAAATATAAATTTGACACCCAAGGGATGAACACAAAAAATACTTCATGATAAATAAATTAAGAAAATTATATACCTAAAATAAATCAAATAAAAAACATTCAATATTATTTTTATTTTACCTTAATTAATTGATTCACAATAAATTAATCATCCAATATACAAGATGTTTAAAAAGTAAGGAAACAGGTAAATTTTAAGGAACAATGAGATAAAAACAAACAGTTTTTTTACTTACATTCAATAAGTAAAAAATCCAAATCTATGTACTTTCTAATAGTTAATAAATAATCATAAGCTAAAAATAATTTATATTCACTTACATTGTATTTTTTCATGTCTTTTAAAGATAATGAATCGCGAGACCATCTTCCAATTCTTGTATAATTGAAAACCCCATAATAAAAATCACTAAATGGATCATAAATCACTTCAGAGGATAATTTATCAGAACTGCTCCAACAATACACTTGATTTTGATTAGATACCTATAAACAAAACCATTTCTTTTAATTTTTTTTCTAAATTGTTTATTTATATAAATATATTTACGTGAAAACAAGTAACCATGTTTTTGGACAATGTTACAATAACATTATCTATCTTAGCATCATTAGCGATTCCTAAAAAATTTGTCTCAATAATTGAACCCAAACTATAAGATGTGTCTAATTTTATCATATTGTTTAATATATCATTTAATTTTAAATAAAACGAAAAAAAAACTTATTACAAAATTTGATCACAGATCCAGTTTAATTTCATTAAAATATCACGTGAGTATAGCATCGTTATCACAAAAAAAGATAAAATTATCTTCATAAATATTCTAGTCTTATTTAATAACTAAAGTTGATTTTACGTCTTTGAAGATAAAGTCGTCTTACTCTACACCCCGCACATTATTACAATATTTAAATAATTGATTCGAAACCGTTTCAAATATTATCTGTAAAAATGTATTTTTAGGGATTAATGTTATAAAGTTGTATTTTGTACACTTATATATATACGCATAACCTCAAATATTACTAAAAACAGCGTTTTTGTGGACAACATCTGAAACTTTTTCGACTTGATAAACGAAACTGATATAAACGAAATTCAACGACCTTTTCTTCTAAGGCCGTGTTGAGTTCATTAATATATTTATCATTCTGATAACCAAAATTTAGATAATTCACATCAATAATAATAATAAATTATCCAAAAAAATTAAGTATTTTTTACAAAATGACTTTAATTCAGCTTATGACAAATATGAAGAAGTATATTATTCCAAAAGTATTTTATATGCAACTTCAACCATTTAGTCATAATGATAACGATTTAAAACTGACAAATGAATGTGTTCAGCGCCTTAAAGAAGTATGTAATGAAGGAGAATTTCTTCGTCTTAGTGTTGAAGGAGGTGGTTGTTCTGGATTTCAATACAAGTTTCAATTAGACACTTCTATTTCTAAAAATGATCTAGTATTTGAAAAACAAGGCGTTAAAGTAGTTATTGACATAATATCCTTAGACTTTGTTAAAGGTTCAACTGTCGATTATGAACAAAAACTAATTAGATCAGCCTTTAAGTTAGTTGGCAATCCAAAAGCCAAAGATGGATGTTCATGTGGTGCATCATTTTCTGTTAAAGTAGATTAAACATTATGAATTTATTTTATTATTTTATTAAATGTATATAGTGAGATGTATACAATGTAAATATAATTAATTTGTATATTTTTTATTATTATAGAGAAAAAATATAGTTTTTTTTTTTTTTGTCAAAGGTATGTTATCAAATTTTTTTAATTTTTGAATCTCAAATCCACAATTTAGTGATAAAACTTAGTATATATCACCAAAATGTTATTACATTATACTTATTGTGTATAAAGAGTGGACTATCAAATCACCCTCTGTAGATGTCTAAAAAGTCCTGTTTTTCTGGCGAAATTAAGTATTCTCTGGGTCTTAGGTGTTTGATATTTTCTTTTTCAGGAAAAGGTTTACTCAATTAGTTTGATCTTAGTGAAAATAATGCTTCACATCCGCATATTATGTGAAATGAGTCTTCCTCTTCTACTTCAAACTTCCTGCACTTAAGTGATTCCAAGACCTCCATTGCCCAAAGATTTTTAAATAAATAACCATGTCCTGTCAGTAGATCAGTCAAAGTACTTATTTGATATTTAATCATGCTATTAATATCACACATCAGTAGACTGGGGGTTTTAATAAACATTTTAGATTGTCTAATTACTACTAAGTACTTTCAGATTTTCCTGTGTTGTTCTCTGCCCCAATTCTTGGGAAGCGCTTTGAATGATTGCTCAGTGTGTCCTACCAATGGTTATGGCACAACATAAGTGATCTCTGCTTCTTTCCTAGCTAAAAAGTCAGTTTTTTAATTTCCAGTGATACCGTCGTGTCCTGGTATCTACACTAGTATAACTTTGTTGAACCCCAATAGGGATTCTAAAGTTTCCCTGCATTCGAGGACAAGTTTCAAGCTTACCTAATCGTTACAGAGTGCTTTCAGAGCGACTTGACTATCACTCTAGATAGTTATCTTTCTTTTCTTGTATAGCAGCAGGTTCTTAGCCTCCACCAATATCGCTTATGATAAAATTAGATAAATGTAATTACTTTCTTTTTAATTTTAAACAATATTCCATTTTAAGTACCTAAATTTTATATTCTATGCAAAAAAATTGAAGTAAGAACTTAGCGTTGCTACATAAATAAGTAAGATAATAATGCATTATAAATAGTGTATTATTACATAGTACATTATTTTAAATTAAAAATTGCAAGTAAGCACGTTTTATGAACTATTTATTTAAATTGTCAATATTTTTACAGTTGTATTAATTATTTTAATTTTGAAGGTTAGATTAATTTGGAATTCATTGAAGATTATTTTAAACTAATAAAATAATTTTTGTAATTTTGTGTCATTTATACGTCTAGTTTTAAAATATATTAATTTAAATGGTATTATTTCCTCGTCAATATAATAATTATTGTCCATTTGATTAGATCAAAAAAAAAAACTTGATTATTTAAAAGATTTAACTTTTAAATTTTATTTTAAATCTTCAATACATATATTGTTTTTAATGATTGATTATTAAACAAAATCCTATATAAAAAAAAAAGTTGATTGTTAAAATTCTCAAGATAAACATCACTATTTCTTGTATAAATATTTTGGAAAAAAAAAATATTCTTATAATATTTTAAATTTCAGCATTTTACTACTACTTATTATTATTATATTTTTAAGTTATACTCTGCATTGCTATATAGGAAAATTGGAATAAACAATGAAAAAGTTATCATAACTAAATAATTGAATCATGAGATGAGGTAGAAACCATCCCTGGCCATATTCTTGTTAGCAAAATTGGGTTTGCTAATCGTTTCCAAAATCGAGAGGATTTTAAAAGGAAGCAAAAAAAAATAGATAATTTCCTGGTATTTGGATCGGTTTTAAGTAAAAGTAATCAACTTTGTAGTTTTTTTGTAGCTATCACTCAAAAAGAATTTTAATACAAAATGACAGACCCGGACCTTTTTTGTTTAGAATAAATTAGCAAACCCAATTTTTGCAAATTTTGTATATTTTTAATGAACCAGGTATAAAATACTCAAAAATGTTGTGTCCTCTTGGTTAGTTATTTTAATAATTTTAGATATTAAACATTTAAAACAACTTAATTCAATATATTAAAGTTGCTATTTAAAAAAAAAAAAATTGTCACTTTTTAAAATAAACTATTCAAACAATTAAAATGGTACATATGCATATCGACGAATCGTATGGATGCGAATATAGCAAAATACTTTATTATTTTGTATTATTATTTATTGTGTATAAGATATTTTGTTTAACAATGAATCAAAGTTCCATAAGTCACAAATTATTTAAATTCAATTATTATTCACACATAGAAATCTCAGTATTGTCTTAACAATAAATAAGGAGCGTTGAAGTTAAAATGACACGTTAATAGTTATTTCCATTTATTACGCTCCAAATTAACAAAGCAAACAAAATAGAAAATCACGAATTTAAATTTAAATTAATTTACAAGAATCAAGTTTTTTTTTGGTCTAATCAAATACCAGGAAATGATCTATTTTTTTTTTTTGCTCCCTTTTGAAATCCTCTCGATTTTGGAAAAAAAAAATATTCTTATAATATTTTAAATTTCAGCATTTTACTACTACTTATTATTATTAGCTTCGATGCGAAGCTGAGAAGGTATTGGTTTTACTATAATGTTTTTTTTTTTTTTTTGTGTCTGTTACCACTTTTTTTCAGCTCTCACCGAACGGATTTCTTTCAACGATACGTCAAAAGATCACAAATTGTATCTAGTCGAAGACATTACCCTTCAAAATTGAAAAAATTTCCCTCGTTCCCCGTAAATGGGGGAAACCTCCAAAAAAATTACTTATACATACTTTATCTTTATCGAGATATTATTAAGGAACCAGCAGATCATGTAGCTTTTAGAATAAAACACCAATTTTTTTTAAATTAAGCACTATCTAAAGATTTGCATCGAAGCGTTTATTTTTGATAGTGATTTTAATCACTGTCAGATATCATTATACTTGATCCAACTATACCCGTCACAACTGTGCCGCGACCCCCCTGTGCTGGGTTTTTTTTATATTTTTAAATTATACTCTACATTGTTATATAGGAAAATTGGAATAAACAATAAAAAAGTTATCATAACTAAATAATTGAATCATGAGATGAGGTTTCTTCCATCCCTGGCCATATTCTAGCGAGGATTAATTAATTATAATTTATATTATATTATGTCAGCTACAATAATAATTATAAGGAAAATTTTTAAATTTAAATCAAAATATGTAATTTTTAAAATATATTATCATGTATTCTATTTTAAGTATAAATTGGCACAAGATAATATTATTATTTAAATATTTTAATACATATTATATTTATACAAGAAATAGTGATGTTTATCTTGAGAATTTTAACAATCAACTTTTTTTTTTATATAGGATTTTGTTTAATAATCAATCATTAAAAACAATATATGTATTGAAGATTTAAAATAAAATTTAAAAGTTAAATCTTTTAAATAATCAAGTTTTTTTTTTTGATCTAATCAAATGGACAATAATTATTATATTGACGAGGAAATAATACCATTTAAATTAATATATTTTAAAACTAGACGTATAAATGACACAAAATTACAAAAATTATTTTATTAGTTTAAAATAATCTTCAATGAATTCCAAATTAATCTAACCTTCAAAATTAAAATAATTAATACAACTGTAAAAATATTGACAATTTAAATAAATAGTTCATAAAACGTGCTTACTTGCAATTTTTAATTTAAAATAATGTACTATGTAATAATACACTATTTATAACGTATTATTACCTAACAAAAATATTACTAAATGTGATTTTAATGTAGTATTTGTATCCGCACTGTATACCAGTATTTACATTTAGGATGTTTGGAGGTTACATAGGAATAATATAAAACGTAATTTAAAAATAAAACTTCAAATAGTTAAAGATATTAATTTAAAATAATTAGTCTCTTATTAATACGAATAGTTTAATCTGTATGATTTATTATGTCATTTTGTAAGAAATCGAATTTTTCATTTAATAATTAATTTAGTTTTTTACAGTTTTCTTTAATTCACTAACAAAGGTTAAATTTTCAAAATAATTATGTTTTCTAAATTATTTATGTTTTATTAGTCAATTGATCTTCAAATATTTCTTCTAATCTTAATATACTTTTTAAATTGACGAAAAGTTTTATTGGTAAGTTTTGCAGTTAATCAGTAAATAATTTAGTACTATATAAGATATTATTCTTATTCGTTAATTATAAGTTTTTTAAACTATTATGGATTATTAAATTATATAATTTAAAAATTTTGAATATTCTTTTATTGTTAATATGTATTTTAATTTGAGTTAAAAATTATAAATCTATATGTATAGTTTTGGAATTTATGAATTAGGTGACATGTCATCTAGCCTATGCATCTAGTTAAACAGTTAAATTAAATAATTTAATGAATTTACATTACACTCTTTTTTTATCAATAGTTGTAGATTTTATTTATTAAATTTTAAAAGTTGTTTTTTTTTTTCTATAGAAATACATGAACTATGTATTAATCACTAGATGTCATTATTATATATTGGCATTATGTCAATGACATTATGTCATTAATATATATGATTAGTTTTTATTTTCAAGTATATTTTTAGAGTAATAAAAGTATTATGGTTTTTTTTCTTACATTCAATATTTTTTATTTTTCATATATATATATATATATATTTAATGATATTGTATTAAATATGTGAATTGATTTGTATTCTTTAATTTATTTTTTTTTTAGTGCTCTATTTTGATTGATGTTGAGTTAAAGTTATTTTGATTAGAGACAGATTCAGTACGAGTACTAAGGTATTATAGCACTCTACTTGTGATGTGTTTATCATACCATAAAAACAGTTATAGCTAAACAAAAATTATCAAGTTATAAAATTTAATTAGATTTCTTTCCAAACAAAAATTTTTTTTTATCATTTCCTATAAACAAATACAAGGTTCACTCCTGATTTCGATCAGTCATGTTCTGATTTGTAGGGTGTTTAGGAGGTAAGAAATAAGGTTTTTATTTTTACATCGTTCATAATAATTGACCTGTTCCTACAGTTAAATCACTCTGTATACAAGGTGGGATAGTAAAACAACAATTTTAAAATAACTATAAAAAATCAACAATTATTTTTTTAGCAATTAATTTCATATCACCTGAAGTATATAAAAAAGCATTTTAAATTGTTAATTTTTCATTATAAAAGGAAAAACAACACTCCTTGAGTTTTGAGGAAACCAATATGTTTCCTCTAATATTTGTTTTACTTTTCTCATATTCTTTATTTAAAACCGTAAGTTGTTCTTATATTTATATTCTTAATATGACTCATCTCTAACCACTACAAAAAAATCATTAGCCATTAAATTATAAATATAGTTGGCATCGAATCGGGCACATATTATCTTACTGGGGTATGTAAAAATCATTATGGGTTCTCCTTAGTTGGCCCCTACATCTTATCAAATAATGAGAAAAGTAAAAATAAAAGACATCAATGTTTTTTGTGGTAAAAAAAGTGTTGCTTATAGAAATCAATGTTTGATACAAATATATAATACAATGTATACCTATATGAAATTCTCAATAATTTTGGAAAATACACTGTACTGCCACATTACCACTTAGAAAATAACTTATATAGCATGAATTTATAGCAATTGTATATAATTACAAGTTACAAAATTTATGATTACTAAATACTAAAGAATATAGAATACAATTTTAAAATACAATTTTAAAATTACAAATATCAATATCTACTACTAGGTAATTCTTTAATTATCTTTAAATGGCCTGTTTACTATCCCATCCTTATGTTTATATATATTCATTACATAACTTAATTAAATTTAATGGTTTACTTAAATAAAAAAACTAATCAAAATGTTGTTAAAAAAATCTACTTAATTGAGTATATTATAAAATTTGATTATACTTGTAAACATTTTATGTTAAATTCAGGAGAAAATAAAAATTATTTTTGTTTTAGATTTATGATTTGTATAGCTATATGTTATCAAAAAATTTAGAACTATATAGACTGGTAGTAACACACACAAATAAAGTTAAAAAATTAATATATTATTGAATTTTGTAGTTGAAACCTATTTTAACAATAAATACTTTAAAAATATTAGAAATTAATGATTTTAATTGTCTATATGGACAATGTGAACTAAGTAACTTTTTAATTAATAAAGTGGACATTTTTTTAATTTTCGAGGGTAATATCTTTAACTAGATAATAGTTGTGATCATTTGATGTATCGTTAAAAAATAGTTGGTCAAGTGAGAGCTGAGAAAATTAATGAGAGTTTTGAAATGAAACATAAACAAAAAATCACATAGTAAAATAATTTTAATATGAATAAGAAATTTCTTCAAACAAGGGGAGACAATAGTAATGAGGTCCTTGATATGCATTGAACATCAATAATTTCAATGAAATTATTGAATCTAAATGAGATAAAAATCAAATTAGTGAAAAAAATTTTTCCAACTCAAAAACTTTTGTAAGGTATTTTAAAATAAAATAAAATACAAAAATAGCATATATTTGAACACTGTAGCCTTTTTCACCATGAAGACCAAATAAAGTTATTATGTATATTAATAATTTTTTTTTTTCATATTAAGGTATATTACATAAGCTTTAATTTAAGATATATATAAAAGGGTCAGACTTTCCAGAACACTTTCAAAAGTTAAGTTGAAAAAGTTGTCATTTTGAATCCCACCCTGTGGGCAGGTAAAGGGTCAGATTTACAAAAAAAATATACAAAATGATAGGTAAATACCTCATGTCTCTATAAAAAAAAATTGTTTCTATTCATTTATTTTTCAAAAATTTATTGCAGTTTTAAGTAAAAAAAAATTGAAAAAATGTCAAAAATTAGCTATTTTTAAATTTTTTTGTAGATTTCCCACATATAGGGGGTACGAGGGAGATTTTCTCAATATTTGAGAGTAATATTTTTGAGTAGATACAATTTGTGGTCTTTTGACATATCGTTAAAAGAAATCGGTTTGGTTAGAACTGAGAAAAAGTGGTAATAGACACAAAAAAAAACACATCATAGTAAAATTAATACTTTCTCAGCTTCGCATTGAAGCTAAATAAAAATTCAGCTTATTATACTATTTAAATTATAGATAAAACACAAATTATAAAGATAGAATCATCCTTGTAACCGTATTATGTATTAATTTAATAATTTGTTTAACTAATTCTATTTCAGAACTTAAATAGAATATGGCTGAATTAAATAATGATGAAACTATTAAAAATAAAGAATCAAAACAAATCACTTTATTAAATGATGTGAAAATATTATTTCATGTAAAATCAATCTTCAGTATGATATGTGATCAAATTGCAAACTTAACTATTTCTGGCAATAAATTACTAACTACATTAGGAGTTAAAAGTTCTTCTCCAAGCTACTTAGATGATGTTCAGTTAAAATTGCTGTCTGAATCTGAACCAGATTTTTTACAATCATTTCTTATAAATAGTGATATTTTCTATGGAACGTTGAACAAATGTACAGATATTAATGCACTCATACTTATGATGAATATATTTTCTAAGATTAAGATATTACCATTGAATCAAACAACAGCTGATGTTATATCTTTGATTTGTAAATCCAAATATTTTGAAAATTTAAATAATGCCCTTGTTAAATATCACATTATTCAAGATGTAGTTAGTCTAATACAATTACAAGAATTTCTTAATAATTGCATAGATTTAAATCAATATATCATCAACCCAGAATCAAAAAATATCTTAAATGATATTGTTTTAATAACTTTTACTAAACTAAATAATAAAAATGTAAAACTCAATATAGATAGTCAATATGAAACAGAAATAATTCCCCAAGTAAATTTGGACGAAATAAAAATTACTAATAAAGTACAGTATGGTGAAAGTAAATGGCCTCTATGTTACAAAACGCTTTCAATATATCCTATACCAGCAGATTTGGNATGTTACAAAACGCTTTCAATATATCCTATACCAGCAGATTTGGTTCCTAAAAAGGTCTTCTTAAATCCAAATATCACGAAAGGTAGATATGATAGTGTAGAGCATTACTTAGATGTACAATTCCGATTACTACGTGAAGATTTTATTGCTCCTATGAGAGAAGGTATCCAATATTATAAATCAATGAAAGAAAAAGGTATGGAAATTATAAATATTCCAAACATGCATACTTATTATGAATCAAAAATTGTAAAACAAATTGTTAAAGACGAGAAGATGTTACTATTTATAAATTTTTATACAAAAGAAAATTTTTTAAAAGACTCAAAAAGATTTATGTCAGAATCACTTTTAGTATTTAGTAATGACCATTTTCAAACTATGTTTTTTGCCATTGTTGTGCGAATGAATCATAAAAATATTTATCCAACTAAGTCATTAATATGTAAACCACTAGGAAAACCTACATTGATTAAATTAAATTCTGTTTATACTATGGCAGAGTGTGACACTTACTTTTTACCGTATAAATATACAATGGATGTCTTACAAAAGTTTAATGATTATAGTTTTCCCATGAGATCATATATCATAGATGCTAAAACTAATCCTAGAGTCCCTGCTTACTTAATACCTCATTCAAAATATTTTAAAATTGATGGAAAGATATTTGACATTTTAGATGACTATCAATGGCCAGATAATCAATCATTAGGCCTAGACTATGCTCAATGTTTGGCTTTTAAAGCTGCTCTTACCAAAGAATTTACAGTTATTCAAGGGCCTCCTGGTACTGGAAAAACATTTATTGGTGTAAGAATTGTCAAAAGTATTATAGAAAACATGTACAGGACAAATATATTGAAAAATCCAATTATAGTCGTTTGTTACACAAATCATGCTTTAGATCAATTTCTTGAAGGATTATTAAGTATTACAAACAAAATTGTAAGAATTGGAGGAGGCTCTAAATCTGATTTATTAAAAAAAAATAGTTTAAAAAATCATCAAATGTCTAGCATAGAATTTTTAAAAAAATCTTTTGTAATTGGACTTACTACTACTGGAGCTGCTATGAAACATTCTATTTTATTAAAATTGAAGTCTCCAATTGGTAAGTATATTTTCTAGATAAAATAATAAAACATCTCAATTTTAATCCACGACATTATGAAATCTATTAGTGAATACAGTTTAACATAATACAATTTTTAGAAAATAGTTTTTAGGTTTTTTCTTAGTTAATTATTACTATTTTTTTTTTTTATATAAAAATTTTAATAACTACTAATTTATAATAATTTTTATTATTTCTAAACATTAAAGTAATTTTATCTGTTGAATAAATTTAGAAGTTCAGAACAATAAATTGTACTACAATTTTTTATTAACATTGTAAAATAGAATGGGTATGAAATGTTTTCACAGTTTTGTCACTAGGCCTATATCATATGTTTTGAGTCATAATATCAAATAAGGGACACCATGATGTCCCTTATTTTGGTAATTTATGGAAGTCTATATTTTTCTTTGTGATAAAAAAAAAAATTATTCAAAACATTATTTTCATAAGGAAAATGAAGGAGGTATTATATAATGCTTTCATAAACTTGTGTAAAACGCATTTGAGAATACCAACTTCCTCATTCCTTCTCAAAGTCTAAAGTAACTAAATAAACACATGAGCACAAAATAAAAACCATAAAGTTTTGGTATTTGTTACAATATGTACTCTGGGCAACACATATCGAAAGATATTATTAAAATACTTTTAGTTGGAAAAACTTAAAATTTACATGAAATTATTGAAGTTTTGATGAATATTAGTTCCCCGCATGTGCAAATTACTGTTGAAGCAAAATTTCAAGTACTCTGCAATAAGTTCATAAATTTCTATATCAATTTATAGAAGTTGCTTATTTTTGTAATTTTTTCCCAGCTTTTAGGAAAATTTTGAAAAAAAAAAAACAAAATTCCTATGTTTTTTATATGACAAAATTCAAGTGCCTACAAGCTTGGGTTAAAATTGTATTAAGAGGTGTGAAATTTTGGGAATAACGTTTTTTCACCATAAAATTAAATTAAAAAATTATAGAAGAAAGTTTTTTTGAGAATTATCAAAATAAGGGATAACATAATATTCATAGGTATTGCTATTTTTACTTAAAAATAAATAATAATTGTTAATCAACAAATTTTATGGTAACAATTTACTGTGTTGATTTCACTTTTTGGCTTCATTGGCAATTAAACATTTTTACTATATTAATTAAATGATAAGGTCTAATTAGTTTATTAATATAACTTTAATTATAAGAATAAGCATAATTTTGATTTTTTAAATATGACATAAATAAATAAATTAGTTATTCATACCTAATAATTGTGATTGACACTAAAATTTATGACTATTCACATCAAGCACTGTTATGTAACTAAGTTGATCATACTCTCCTTTTTAAATATTTTATGATTTGGATTATAGTTGTTTATTTTATTTAACACTGTTTCATAGTAATAAATTTTTATAGTTATTGTCGAAGAAGCGGCTGAAGTTTTAGAATCACATGTTGTTATTTCACTGACCGAACATTGTCAACATGTTATTCTAATAGGTATGTTAAATAATAATTTTTACAGTACTGTGTCTAACATAATAATTTATAGTGATGGGATATATTGAATAGTAACTATCGAACTATTTGATAGTTATTCAAAAAATATTTGAATAGTCTTCATCTTTTTATGTGGAATAGTAAAATTATTCGGTAGTTACACAATATATTTGAATAGTTTTTAAAATATTTGAAAATGCCCATCACTAATTTTTACTATTAATGATTTTACAATAATTAATTTGAGTATTCATTAATTATCTTCTTATTATAATTTAGTGTATTGAATAAAAATTTTAAGTAGAACTAATCGAATATTTTTTGAAACCATTCAGTAGCCCATTCGAATAGATTTAAAACTATTGATAGTTTATGCTAAAAATAAACTATTCAGTTGTATAAAAACAATTCGAATCATTATTTGATAGTTTAAAATATTCAAAAATGCTCATCACTAATAACTTATTAATAAAAATAATGTATATACAATTTATTTCAGTTTTATTAGTTAAATAAAAATACATATATATTTTTAATTTTAAGCTATTAAGTTGGTTGAAATAATTTTCTATATTGGAAATAATGTCTTAATCTACTTCCAGGAGATCATANTTTTCTATATTGGAAATAATGTCTTAATCTACTTCCAGGAGATCATAAACAATTACGTCCTCGAACTGCAACATTTACACTTGCAAAGCAATTTCATTTTGATATTTCATTATTTGAACGTTTAGTAAAAAATGATTATCCTTGTTATACTCTACAAACACAACATCGCATGCGACCAGAGATTTCTTCATTAATTTTACCAATTTACCCTTACTTAAGGAATCATAATTCAGTCAATAATAGAGATAATATATGTGGTGTTACAAGAAATATGTATTTTATAAATCACGAGAACTCTGAGGAAAAAGTAAGTATGTCAATTAATAATACATGACTGTACATGTACAGTCTATTACATTAAATTTTGATTTTAAACATAAAGGTATTAGGATCTGCTAGCTATAAAAATATGCATGAAATATATTTTTTGATGGAATTTACAAGATATTTACTTAATCAAGGTTATCAGCAAGGCCAGATTACCATTTTAGTTACTTACAAAGAACAACTATTAGAATTACAAAAGGTAAAATTAACATATAAATTTTAAAAATCCTCTTCCTTACTTTTTGTACGTTCTGTATACTTTTAGGTGATATTAAGGCATTACTAAGAAAATATTTGTTAGTTTTATTATAATTATTTAAAAATCATTAGTTTTATATCCTCATTTTGTTTATACAGTGTCTGACTTGAAAAGATTTAGCATTATGCGTATTGAACAGATTGGTCTGTTTTTTTTATTATTTTTTATGTGATAATTTTTTAGAATTGAAAATCATTGTAATTATGAAATTCTTTTTTACAAAATAGCCTTAACAACAGGGTCATTGAATAATTTTATGTTTTAAACAAGGTTGTTCAATTTGGAAATTGCATTTTTTTCATATATATGGTAAAATTACAATAAAAATTATTTAGCCCCATAGGGTAATATTAAAACAGTGTAGAATAATTGATCCTAGGGTATTTTCAGCTTTTTACAACTATTTTTGAAGTCTAGCAGTTTATTGTTTTGACTAGTTATAAGATTACCTTTGGAAAATTTTAGATCAATGGAATACAATAATACAAATCAAATAGTTTTACATACAATTTTGGGAAATATCATTAGTTAGTAAAAAATATACTTGTAATTGGTAAAGTTCTACATAAATTATTATAAATATCTGCCTATAAGTAGAGTAGTGTACATAAGGGTGATTCCACTCAATTAAAATTAAAAATTATTAAAGTGTAAAAGTTTAAGGATAAATATAATGATTATTGTTCTTTGTATTTAATTATTATTTTTTAATTATAACTATTTATTTTTAACATCATCTCTGAAAAATTATTCTTATGTTAGAGAGGATGGGTTTACCTACATAGCTTAATACAGCGAAATCCAACCCCAGTACCTACACTCTGAGGCACAAATCTTTTCCTACTGAACTGAGTAGTTAATTCAGATAAATAATTAAATATTATTTATTATTTATATAGATAAGAGAAAGTAGTTATAATTTAGAGTATTTTCGAATTGAATGTGTTGATGGTTATCAAGGAGAAGAAAATGATATTATTTTGTTGTCATTGGTACGTAACAATGAAACAAACAAAATTGGTTTCTTAAGTATATTAAACCGTGTATGTGTTGCATTGTCAAGAGCTAGAAATGGATTATATATTATGGGAAACATGGAAAATTTATTACACTCTTTTATATGGAAAAGAATTAGTAACATTCTTGTTTGCCAGGACTCTATTGGTAATAAATACATTTTATAATATTTTTATTGTTTTATTTTAATTAAGAGTATCAATTAATATAACAACAACAGATGATCTAAATATATTTTTATAATATTCCTTGTTGGATAATTACATTAAATTTTAAATAAAATTGACTTGTTTTAGTTGAAATTAATTCTATTTTACAGAAATTTTTACTTTTAAGAATTAATTGTGGTATAATGTATTTTACATTAATAGCTTAAACCCTAAGTTTGATACCCTAAGGTTTTTTATACTAGATACATTATTTAGTTTTGTTTAGTAAATTTTTATTTTAAAACAATTTTCTGGAAAAGAATTATTTTTACACAGGAAACAAACTAACCTTACGTTGTCCAGTACATAAGGATTGGATTAAAACTGTATGCAAAAGTACTGATTTTGCAGATATTCAGTGTTTAGAAATTTGCAACGTTGTAATGTATTGTGGACATCAATGCAAAGAATATTGTCATATTCGAGATCAATGTCATGAAAATATCTATAGATGTAAAAAAGAATATACAAAGTAATTTTACTGTATTATTATCATATTACTATTATATAAAGTATAATTTTGGTAATTTCAGAGTTTTACCGTGTGGATTAGAAATAAAAATTGAGTGTTGGATGAGAAACTTATTTTTTATGTGTCCTCCAAAAGGTAATATAGAAAATAATTTTTATTCTCTCATTCAGAATTTTTTGTGTTGAAATTAAATTATGATACATTTTTTTCAGTTGTAAAAAAAGTGAATTTTCAAACAAAGTCTTACATGAATTATCACTAACAACTTAGGTTATCATTATGTACATTGAAAAATTTTAAGACTGAATTATCTTATTCTTTAATTTTTGTTTGTTTTAAGACTAATTATTTATTAATAAATAGAGGTATTGTGTAATTTAGCTTTAATTTCAATTTTTTATATAGTTACTTTGAAGTTAAGTTAAATTAAATTATTATGTTTTGTGATTAAATAATATCTTGCCAATTATGTTTTTTAATCAAAACCTTATGTTTATATTGTTAAATTGTTAAATGCTTAAATATGAAAAACTATAATGTTTTAGATATTTAATATAAATGTATCAGAGTATAAAATTAACAATTTGTTATAATATGTATTATTTATATCATATAGATTAATAATCTTAGACTTTATATTAAAATATTCAGTTTTAGATAAAGTTTTAAGAGGTCAGTGTATTCAGAGAGGTGAAAAAAATGTTGCCCCATTTTTATAAATTCAAAACCACTGTAAACTGCTTCAATAAATTTTTTTTTTGTATTCTAAAATTTTTGAAAAACTAAAAATCAGGTCATTTGTTGCAAACAATAAATACTTGTTTCCTTACTTACTGAACACTCAATATATCTTAAATAAAAATACATATTATTAATAATATAGTGGTCAAAACTATCTTGCGAGGTAATGTCAATAAGATATAAAAATATCACATCTCCTATTTGTCATTTTATAATTGTTATAGTTGATAATTTTTCTATAAACAAGGATATAAATAGCGAGGTCGCGTCACAGTATAGTTGGGTCAAGTATGGATGATATCTGACAGTGATTAAAATTTACAAATTGTATTGTTAAATTTAATATGCAGTCAGGACATTTTATTAATAGATTAATAGAATACTTAAATAGAAATCTTAGTAATCATTTCTAAGTAACATTTGGTAATGATTTATTTTAACTAATGAAAAATTAAAAAAATCTATACAATTGAGCGTCTTATAAAACTAGATTATAATTGAAAAATCCATCGTTAAATTTATATTAGACACAAAATCATTCTTTTAGAAATTATTTTTAAAGTTACAGGTTACTAAAAAATGTGAAATATTGATAACTGGTACTAACACACAATTATAGTTAAAAAATTAATGTACTACAAAGAAAAATTTATGAATTTTGTAGTTGAATACTTTTATCATATCAAATCTAATTTGTCAATAAATACTTTAAAAACATTAGAAATGAATACTTTTAATTGACTACAAGGAGAATGTGGGTTAAGTAACTTTTTAATTGATAAAGTGGAATTTTTTTCAATTTTTGAGGGTAAAACCTTCAATTAGATACGAATTGTAATTATTTGTCATATAGTTGAAAAACATAGATCAAGTTAAAGCTGAGAAAAAAGAATAGACATAAAAGGTATACCACATAGTAAAATAATTTAAAGTATTAAAGTAGAGTTGAAAAAGTTGTCATTTTAAAACCCCTTTGTGGGTAGGTAAAAGAACCAATGTTCACAAAAATATATCAAAAGATATGTAAGTACCTAATATATCTATATTATTGATTTATTCATTAAAAAAAAAAAAATGTCAAAAATTATTGATTTTTAAAATTGTAATTTTTTGTGGTATTTCTCTCATTTATGAAGAATAAGGGAATTTTTTTTTTAATTTTGAGGGTAATGTCTTCGACTTGATACAATTTGTGATCTTTAAACGTATTATTCATCAAAATCGGTCTAGTGAGAGCTGAGATTGAGTGGTAATAAACACAAAAAATCAAAAAAAGCATCATAGTAAAATTAATACCTTCTCAGCTTCGCATTGGAGCTAAAATTAAAAATTACAGTAATTTTTTACCTAACTCATTATAAATATAGGAATAGTAAACAATTTAATAGTATAGTTGAAATCATTGTACAAATCGTTAAAAACCTATATTTTTTAATATTGTGATTGGGTTTTAGTTTTGAATTTTATTAAAATTTAAAAAATTTCTATCAATAGCTGCATTTTTACTTTTTTTAATTTTTTCGTATTTTAAGAAAAATGATTACATTTGATTATACCATTAGAAAAAAAATTAATTTTTTATATTATACTAAAGATTTAACTATATTGAAATTATTTACAGGCGTCCTACTCTCATAGAAAATTTTACTTGTAATAAAAATCTTGTATTCAACTAAATGTTAATAATAGGTGCATGTCTTCCGTACCCTATGAAGGAAAATAGTCAAGATTTCATAAAATTATTTTAGGATAACAAAATACCATTAATTCCGACTAAAGTGGTTTAGTATTATTAATTATCTAGTGTATGTAAGATATCATTATGTCAGCTTTATTTAAAATACTTCTAGCATTTAGACATTGAGTTTAAAAAAAATTGATAAATTATAAGAAATAATAGACAAATTAATGAAATTTAGACATTCATGTAGCTAAATTGCATAGTTGACACGCCGTTTCATATTCACGATTATAAATAATGAATTGTGTTATTATTTTTCAGTGTTAACAAATTAAACAGTTTATTTACAATAATTTTAGTTAACATTATATTATATAGTATTGATATAAATCTTTAAATGAATTTATAAGTTTATAAGTTTAAGCTTCGATGCGAAGCTAAAATTCATTTTACCATAATGTGTTTTTTTTTTTTTAATTCTTTTGTCTGTTGCCACTTTTTCTCAGCTCTCACTGGACCGATTTTAGTGTACAAAATGGCAAAAGATCACAAATCGTATTTAGTTGAAGATATTACCCTTAAAAATTGAAAAAATTTCCCTCGTTCCCTGTAAACGGGGAAATCCCCAAAAAATTTAAATTTTTTAAATCTGTAAATTTTGTCATTTTTTTCTTAATACTACTATAACTTTTTCCAAATTAATAAATTAACTTCATTTTTTTTTTTATATCGAAACCTTAGATATTTTCCTTTCATTTGATATCATTTTTTTGAAAATTTAACACAGCCTACTCACAGGGGTAAATTTAAAATAGCAACATTTTTACGAAAATTAACTTTATCAACTTGAAATTAATGTGTTAGGCATAGTAAAAGAAATCTAATTTTTGAACTTCTATCTTCAACAAAAGTGACAATTGTGACTGCAATATTATTGTAGTATCCTCCCGCGGTGGATATCAATCGCACGAAATATTTACTACGTATTTACGGGTGACCTAAAGACATCAAAAGTGAACGTACACCAAACACAATGGACAGTGTCAGCAGTGCACAACTATCGAAACGTTGTGCGAGCATATTAAACAGATTCGCGGATTATTTTTTTGTATAACGGCTGCAACAATCTTTTTGATTTTACTGCATTTCACTCAAACCGTTGACAGCAGCAGATATCAGATTGTAAACAGTAGCGACAGTGATAGTGGACACGAAGATGCGGATGACATCGACAATTTAAAAAATAACTTGTTTGTATAACTAATCGTTTGGACGCTCTCGGTCGAGATTACATAACAATCGAAGATCGTGTTTTTATATTGGAAAAACGTATCGAAACAGTAGAACGAAAGTGCATTTGAATGTCAAATATAAATGGTTTGCTAATATTTTATATTATAATATAGCATATATTTATAATATATATATATGAACTATTTCTTCTCTAGCTCGGAGAATCGGGCGCGTCCTCAGATGCGGATAGAGGAACGGCCTGCAGATAAGCAGGTTAGCCGCGAAATAAGCAGTTCATTCAATTGGACTGACGAATAAGTGGTCGCGGACAGCGAGCCGCCCAGACGCTTGTTAATCCTGTAGATATACAGAATAGCCGTGAAATAAGCCTATATGGACGAATAAGCAGTAGCGTTTGGGTGAGAACGGAGAATTATGGCAACGCAACCAATGAAGTTAGCCGCTCACTAGCCGAAGGGACTGGCTATGAGGGCAACCCCCTCACAAAAAAATCATTTACCAAATGACAATGGCACAGAAAGGAGTAAAGGTTACTGTATCAGAGGATTCGGATGCCTCAGTTCCGGCAATTGGTGGGGGGTGTACCCACCAGGTGTCGTTATCAAACGAATACGCGCCAAATGTAGGAGTGTTGAGGCAGGCTCCTGCAGCCAACCACGGGGTTGGTACTGCGACTGCAGGGAGTGATGGTAACCAAGCCACTCCAACTGGTGAAATAGCCGGGAAGCCATTGGCAACGAACTGCTTGGATTCTGAAACGGACTTAACGACGGCCTTCCCCCTAGATACGTCAGCAAAATCCTCTATATTTATAATTCGTTCTGAGGCAGGTACTTTTAAAAAGACCTATAGAGGTCATCAGAGTATTCAACAAATGTTTGTATAAGGGATGCTTTCCAAGGAAATTCAAGGAAGCACAGTTGGTCTTGATCCGAAAAAAGGACAAACCATTAGAGCTACTTTCGACATACCGTGCCCAGAGCTTGGTGAACTCGATAGGTAAATTATTCGATCGTGTCCTTAAAGCACGTTTGGATAAACACCTATCGAACACCAATGGATTATCCGAAAATCAGTTTGGCTTCAGAAGAGGGTACTCATCGGTGGAGGCCTTAGAAAAAGTAATGGAGGTGGTTAGCAGTGCAGGTACTGGACCCCTTAGACGAATGAAGTTTTGCGCACTCGTATCTCTAGACGTGGTCAACGCTTTCAATACGGCGCCTTGGGAGAGTATTGGCGATGCGCTTATACGCAAGCGGACACCTTCATATCTGGTAAAAATGTTTCGCGATTATCTTTGATAGGCGACTGCTCACTGAAGAGGGTGAAATGAATATTACCTGTGGAGTGCCCCAAGACTCTGTAGTGGGACCACTTCTGTGGAATGTATTCTACGATGACCTTATGAGCATGTCAATGTTTGACGGTTTTCATATTGTTGGATTCGCAGACGACGTTGCAATAATTGGTACTGCTAATACTACAGAACAATTGGAAGAAATAATGAACTACGAGCTGGTTCGGGTATGCCGCTGGATGAGAGGAAGCAGTCTGACGATCTCCAGGGAGAAGACTGTAGCAATAATGCTGACGACTAAAAAAGGATACGTGCGGCCCAACTTCCTTCTACTTGGGTGTAGTATAGAGCTAAGAGACCATATTTGCTATCTAGGGGTACAATTAAGCAGAACATTAAGGTTCATAGAACATTTATTAAGTCATTTATTCAGTTAAGTCTAAAGCATTGAAGACGGCTGCTGCTCTGTCTAGATTGATGCCAAATCTAAAAGGAGGCTGCTGGCATCAGTAATAAATAGCCAGATGCTATACGCTGCTCCCATATGGAGCTCATCCCTAGTTTTCCAGAACTACAGAGATATTTTAGCATGCCCACAGCGTAACATTGCACTGAGGGTGGCATGTGCATATAGAACAGTGTCCACCGTAGCCATAGCAGTGGTCGCAGGTATGATACCAGTGCATATTATGGCCAGGGGCAGGACGGAGTTAAGGAGATTGATAGCGCTAGAGCCAAATCAAGCCAGGGATTCTGTGGATGAATCTATGTGGACATGGTGGTGGGAAGAGTGGGCAGACACGCAAGTAGTTGAGGGGGCCTGGACCAAACGTCTTATACCGAAGGTAAGAGAGTGGTTGGCACGTAAGAATGGTACACTTAGCTTTCATCTGACTCAGTTCCTCACGAGGCACGGGTGTTACCAAGCCTACCTACATATATATAAAAAAGTGCAGTGAGATGCTTGTGTTTCTTGTGGAGAGAAAGATGACATGTAGCACACCTTCTTCAGATGTGGATGTTAGATGTCGAAGCTTATGGCTCTAGAGACGATGGTCAATGCCGAGGTAAATCCTTTGACGGTTATAAACATCATGCTCAGTAATGAGCAAAAATGGAATCTCGTAGAAGATTACGTGGAAGGAATCCTAAAGGTCAAGAAATCGGAAGAATGGCAGAGGGTTGCAGGTGATAATTCACAGACGTGTAAATATTGTTAGACTTAAGTAAAATCGATGTAAATACAGGGTTCATCCCAAAAGTAATGAGCCTCATCTTTTTCTGACGCGACTAAACAATACAGCGCGCAGAGACCGATCAGGAAGAGTGGGGGAAACCCTAACGAACTACTGCAGACCGGCCTCATTTCACTCTTAGCTCTGAAAGCGACAGGACGTGAGTTCCCCCGAAGGAAGTTTCTAAGCGTCGTCATGGAAAAAACGATTGAACAACATATGCAATCAAGTTTTGTTTTCGGCTGGGGAAAACCGCTACTGAGACAATCTCAATGCTTCAGACGGCTTTCTCGGATAATTGTCTGTCCAGTTCTCAAATTAAGAAGTGGCACAAGGCGTTCAAGGAGGGCAGAGAGGACGTCGCTGACAAACCAAGGTCAGGGCGCCCGTCAACTTCGCGGACAGACGTCAATGTGGAACGTGTGCGCGATTGCTTGAACACCAACCGTCGGCTCAGTGTATATCAAGTGTCAGAAGCCTTAAACTTGCCAAAATCAACAGTACATCGCATAGTGACTGAGGAATTGGCCATGCGCAAGGTGTGCACCAAGCTTGTGCCACGAAAATTGACTGACGAACAAAAAGCGATTCGAGAGCTCCGACCCCAAGAATTCCTTGATTTGTGTGAAGACGATCCGAACTTCATGGACCACGTGATCACTGGTGACGAAACGTGGTGTTTTGAGTATGACCCTGAATCGAAGCGACAAAGTTTTGAGTGGCACACGTCCTCGTCACCACGCCCCAAAAAGGCGCGTATGAGCAAGTCGAAAACAAAGACCATGCTCATTATCTTCTTTGGGGTGCAGGGCATCGTGCACCACGAGTTTGTCCCACCAGGACAGACTGTGAATGCAGTGTTCTACAAGGCTGTGTTGAAGAGATTGAGGCTTAGGATCCACCGCCTGCGGAGGCAGAGGAAGTGGTCGATTCGGGAAGACTGGAGGCTCCATCACGACAATGCGCCCTCTCACACCGCGTTCATCGTGAACGAATTCCTGGCCAAAAAGCACATCACCGTGGTTCTTCAGCCTCCCTACAGTCCCGATCTGTCTTCCCCGGACTTCTTTTTATTTCCAAAAATGAAAACAGCCTTGAAAGGATATCACTGGCAGTCCATCGAAAACATCCAAGCAGCCGTGACGAAGGTCCTGACAGAAGTTATGGAAGACGCCTACCAGGGAGCGTTCGAGGCATGGAAAACCCGATTCCAGCGGTGTATTGACGCGGGAGGAAAGTATTTTGAAGAATTTTGATGGCTTGTAGCGTTATAACCAATAAAAGTGTGATTCTGAACAAAGGCTCATTACTTTTGGGATGAACCCTGTACTTACTGTAAATTGTAAATAAATACCATATGAATGTTTAGTAATAAGTGAAATATGTATTACCTTGGAGTTGTTTTAATAAACGATGGTGGCTCTGGGGAAAGCAAAGCTAACGCAGTCCTCCCCTGAGTCATCGATTCAAAGATAAAAAAAAAAGGAGCAGAACTCTTTAGTCCCGACTAGGGTCGCGTCCCGAATCGGGTCCATGATCTATGACCTTTAACCTTTGACCTATGACCTTTAACCATATGACCTTAGACCCATGACCTAGGACTTTGACCTTTAACCTTTGACCTATGACCTTTGACCTTTAACCTTTTGACCTTTAACCTTTGACATTTGACCTATAACCTTTTGACCTTTAACCTTTGACATATAACCTTTTGACCTATGACCTTTGACCTTTAACCTTTTGACCTTTAACCTTTGACATTTGACCTATAACCTTTTGACCTTTAACCTTTGACCTATAACCTTTTGACCTATGACCTTTGACCTTTAACCTTTTGACCTTTGACCTTTGACATTTGACCTTTAACCTTTTGACCTTTAACCTTTGACCTATAACCTTTTGACCTATGACCTTTGACCTTTAACCTTTTGACCTTTAACCTTTGACCTATGACCTATGGCCCTTGACCTTTACCTTTTGACCTTTAACCCTTGACATTTGACCTATAACCTTTTGACCTTTAACCTTTGACCTATAACCTTTTGACCTATGACCTTTGACCTTTAACCTTTTGACCTTTAACCTTTGACATTTGACCTATAACCTTTTGACCTTTAACCTTTGACCTATAACCTTTTGACCTATGACCTTTGACCTTTAACCTTTTGACCTTTAACCTTTGACATTTGACCTTTAACCTTTTGACCTTTAACCTTTGACCTATAACCTTTTGACCTATGACCTTTGACCTTTAACCTTTTGACCTTTAACCTTTGACCTATGACCTATGGCCTTTGACCTTTAATCTTTAACCTTTTGATCTTTGGTCTTTAACCTTTGACCTTAAAGAATATTCCCTCAAAAATTAAAAAAAAAATCCTTATTCAAATAAAAAGTAGCTTAACCAGCTTTTTCCATACAAACAATTAAAATCATTAATTTTTAATATTCTTAAAGTATTTATTGTCCAATTTGATTTTATATAATAAAAGTATTCGATTACAGAAGTAAATAATTTTACTTTGTAATTTATTAATTTTTTAACTCTATTTGTGCGTGCTACTATCAGTCTATTATCATGTATCATCTATTTACTATACGATCACTATCATTCCAATTTTTTTTTTAAATAAATATAAAAATAAAAATTATTATTTATATATTTATATAAATAAAAATCTAAAAAAAAAATTATTTTTAGTGTTACATGAATTTAACAATGAATTTTTACAATTATAATAAAATTTTATAATTCGCTCATAATTGAGTAGATTTTTTTTAACAACTACTTGAATAGTTTTTTTAGTTATGTAAAACATTAAAATTAATTCAGTTCTACATAATTCAATTGTAGAATCTTTTTAAACACTTAAAGTTAATTAGAAATGATTAATATGATTTCTATTTAAGTGATTTATTATCTATTATAAAAATACAAAAATATTGAGCTTTTCTAATAAATTTACTGCAAATAGTAATCATAAAATTTTCTGACTGTATATTAATCTTAACAATACCATATTTTTGAACCTATTTTTGAACCTTTGACCTATTTTTTTAATCGTTTAAAGTTGATTTTTGTAAATATTTATAAAAAAAAATAATAATTTATTTTACCATAACTTTTAGCTCAATTACAAGTTGAAACTGACATCATTAAATAGAAAATTTAAAATTATGCTATTTTTTAGACTAATATGCAGTCAGGAATTTACTATTTATTGTAAATTTATCAGAAAAGCTGAATATTTTTTTGCAATTTTATCGTAATAAATAACTTAAATAGAAGTAATTGTAATAATTTCCTAGTAACTTTTGGTGTTTGAAAAGATTCTGCAATTGAAATATTCATAACTTAATTAATTTTAATGATTTGCTTTAACTAAATGAACCAATCAAAACAAAATTGTTAAAAAGATTTACTCAATTGAGCGTATAATAAAATTTGATTATAATTGTAAAAATCCATTATTAATTAAGGAGAAACTAAGAATAATTTTTTTTAGAAATGATTTATATAGCAACATGTTACCAACAAATTTGTAATATTATAGTCTAGTAGTAGCACACACAAATAGAGTAAAAAAATGAATAAATTACAAAGTAAAATGATTTAATTTTGTAGTTGAAACCTATCATATCAAACTTCATTCGTTAATAAATATTTTGAAAACATTAGAAATTAATGATTTTAATTGTCTTTATGGAGACGATGTAATAACTAACTGTTTAATTGATAAATTAGAATTTTTTTTTCAATTTTTGAGAGTAATATCTTCAACTAGATACGAATTGTAGTCATTTGACGTATCGTTGAAGAAAGTAGGTCAACATGCAAGATATTAGGTTTAAAAAACTACAATAATAGGTAGTTAAATAATTTTTATGTAAGTGTATGTGCACCCAGCTTCGCTAAATACCCACCATATATATTTAAAATGCTGTAAGAGATTAACATTCATGTTGTGTATATTATTGTATTTATTTTGAAAGTAATCAAGTGGTTTATGACCAACTGATCACTNTTTGAAAGTAATCAAGTGGTTTATGACAAACTGATCACTATGTATATGTTTTAGGCGTTTATGTTTTTTTGTATCCTTTAGGCATATAAATAACAGATCGATAAATTCAAAAATTATTATATGAGTTAATAGTGCAATGAATATTCATTTCTTGTAAAAAACCTCTAATATATTCAGTAGTTGCTAATGCCAAACATATATGTTATAGTAGATAAAGATATAGTTTGCTGTTTTTTATTTGACCTATCAATTTCTAAAAAGTTTTAAAAATAATACCATTTGTTGATTTTCAATTTTCTTGTTCACCAGGAAAATCTAAATCACAAAAACCAATTAATTTTCCTTAATTATTTCTTTAATAAAAAAGACTTATTTTTTTTAGCTCTTCTTAATATTTTAATATACATTTAACAATTATTCCAGGGGTTAATAAAAAATTGTCTTGCCATTCGTGGGTTGGAACCCTGTACCCCAAGCATGTAAAACACAAGTTTTACCAACTCGGCAACCGTACGTTGATAACGCCGATGAAAAAGTTGGCTATTTAAACTAAATCAAAATTTAAATTATATTACATAAGCTTTAATTTAAGATATATATAAACATGTCTTTCCGGAACATATTCAAAAGTTATTTTTTTATGAAAAAGTTGCCATATTGAAACCTTTCCTATGGGCAGTAAAGGGTCAAATGTTCACAAAAATATATCAAATGATAGTGAAATACCTAAGGTATGTATAAAAAAAAAATTATATTGATTTGTTCCTTTTTAAAAAAGTTATGACAGTTTTAAGAAANAAAAATTGTCTTGCCATTCGTGGGTTGGAACCCTGTACCCCAAGCATGTAAAACACAAGTTTTACCAACTCGGCAACCGTACGTTGATAACGCCGATGAAAAAGTTGGCTATTTAAACTAATTCAAAATTTATTATATTACATAAGCTTTAATTTAAGATATATATAAAGATGTCTTTCCGGAACATATTCAAAAGTTATTTTTTTATGAAAAAGTTGCCATATTGAAACCTTTCCTATGGGCAGTAAAGGGTCAAATGTTCACAAAAATATATCAAATGATAGTGAAATACCTAAGGTATGTATAAAAAAAAAATTATATTGATTTGTTCCTTTTTAAAAAAGTTATGACAGTTTTAAGAAAAAAAATTGAAAAAATGTCAAAAATTGCCGATTTTTAAATTTGTAATTTTTTGGGGGATTTCCCCTGTTTACAGGGAATGAGGGAATTTTTTTTTTTAATTTTTGAGGGTAATGTCTTCGACGAGTTACGATTTGTGATCTTTTGACGTATTGTTCTTCAAAATCGGTCCAGCGAGAGCTGAGTTTGAGCGTTCACAGACACAAAAAAAAACACATCATAGTATAATTAATACGTTCTCAGCTTCGCATCGAAGTTGCGTAACTGTAACAAACAGTGGCGTCTCTTGACATGGATGACGGATCAATCGCACCCCCTACTAAAATTAATTGTATATCCTTATTTCTACATTTTTATTAAAAATGCAAATTTTAAATAGTAAAATAGTTATAATAAATTTGTCGTGTGGGATCAATAGTTGTTCCCACAGTATATACGCATAGAAACGAATAGTGTATGGACGACCGGTAGCGTCGTCTGAACAATATACTGTAACATAATAAAACACAACCGTGTGCGTGCGGATACGGTTCAGCTGCGATATTTTGTACGGGTAAAATATTAGTATATTACTATCATAGTTGTAAAAAATACTTTTAAAAAGTATTTTAAATAATATTCAAATATTTAAAAAAAAATGTATTTAAAATACTATTTGAATACTTTTCATACAAAAGTATTTGAGTAATACTCAATTACTTTACAAAAGTATTTCAAATACTAAGAATACAATTAAAAAATAATAATAATGTTTTTATTTTAACTAAGAGCAAAAGGTTCCACCTAAATAATTACCAAGAGGGTAATTTGAGTCAAATATTGAGTACTCTTAAATTAAGAGAACTCATTTATTATTTTCGATATTTTTTGTTAGAGGTAAATAAAATTAATTATTGGAGACTAATCAGTGAAAAAAATAAATATTAGTACACGTGTAAAAACCTGTAAAGTATGTCTTATTGACAATAGAGTAAATAATTTGAACCTGCAATAGGCTATTTTAGGTTCAACTGATGTATTAAAAAAAGATGTATACATAATAGCATTTAGATAAGCACAATAATTATGTTATACTATAATGTAACATATAAAATAACAGAATTATTCTCAATTTTCATTTTGACTGAGTTTGATTTGCTTGCTGTGTTACAGTTAGCAAATTAGAAAAAAAAAGTATATTAATAGTACTGAATATTAAACAGTATTAAATACTAAATAATTGTATTTAAAATACTACTCAGATACTTTTTATTAAATGTATTTAAAAATACTATTCAATACCAATGAAAGTATTTGAATACTTTTATTCAAATACATTTACTCAAATGCTTTACGCCTTTGATTACTATATTGGGTATTTATTTTTAGAATTAACTGCTTATCGTTATCAGTTGTTTTAATAATAGCTATTATTATTATTTTCATTTCTATTTTCTACTGCGACCTTTAAAATAACATGTGTTTTGTGTTTTATTTTAATGTATTTAATGTGACAATGTTTTATACCTACGACTAGCGGTATTATATTTAAAGTCACATTCCCACCACTAGTACCCAAGAGCCACCACTGTCAACAAAGATGAAAATAAGGGTAAATTATAATGGTTATATTTTTGATAAAAAAATATAAAGAGTGTTTATAATCTTTTATTTATAGAAATCAGTCGTAGATTTTATATAACGTAATCGTATTATTTAAAATTAAATCGTCCTCGAAAATAATTATATTGACTATACAATGCGTAGTGTGAAACGTATACGCAGTGCTTTTAATACACGGAGTCAACAATAGTTTATTAAAGCGGTGACAAAGTCATTGATAATCAATGATTGATTATTTTTAAGTCAATCGTGTCAAGAAGCAAGAGACATAAATTCAAATAAGCTGTCGAACCAAGTATTATTAAGGTATAGTACAGTTAATACACTGGATGAGAGAACGCAATCTGGCGGGCAAATGGCAAGATAGAAGGATTCTGTCTTCTTCAATAATCAATGATTAGTTCACTCAAATGAGTTGACTCAGTGAATTAACTCCAAATCCCAACTCGAAGAGTTGACTCACTCACAAACTACCCATTCCTAATAATCATTCAGTTGCGTGGTCAACGGTATAACAGTACCGTAAACCGTTTGCCTGCCAGGTTGCGTTCTCTTATACAGTGTATTAACTGTAGTATACCTTAATAATAATTAGTTTGAAAGCTTATTTGAATATGTGTTT